CCCCCGCCCCCGGCCCCGGCCCCTGCCCCCTCCCCAGCCCCCGGCCGGCCCCGCGCCTGACGGCGCTGCCTGGGAGTGGGGTGGCTGCGGCGACAACGTACGCTTCGGCTACGAGAAGTCGCAGCTCTTCATGGACGCACGGCGCAAGCGGGGCAAGGCCGACATCCGTGCCCTTGTGGACCTGCACAACAATGAGGCCGGGCGCCTGGTGAGCCCCCCCAGCCCCTACCCCTGCTTCTTCAGAGCCTGTGCCCCTGGCAGTGTTATACGTAGCCAGTGTCCCACCCCAGAGCCAGCTGCATGTCAGGGCCTTCAAGGTCCCTATGCAAGGGGTGGGCACCCTTCAAGTGCCACCTCTGATGGGGCCACGCTGCAGGGGGAGGGGAAGCCCCCCAAGCTGGGCCGGGCTGAGCAGGGGGCAAATCCCTGCCTGCTGCCCCAAGGCAGCGTGAGCGGGGGGCAAGAGCCTCCAGCCAGGACCCTGTGGCAGTGAGTCAGCAGGAGCATTGGCACAGCCTGAGCACAGCACATCTGCGGGGGGGGCTTCAAAACCCACTGATGCATACAGCTGAACTAAAGCTGAAACCCTAGCTGCTGCTGCTGCTGCTGCTGCTGCTGCTGACGGCCGGGCCAGGCTGAGCAGGGGGCAAATCCCTGCCTGCCCCCAGGGTAGTGTGGAGCTGAGCCTGTGAGGGCGGGAGGGTGTGGCATGGAGCTGTGGGGTCACATCCAGTCCCGGATAGAAATGCACTTCCTCTGCTAGCAGCTGGGGGTCCCCAGGGAGTGGGACCACACATGGGGGGGGAGCTGGGGGCATAGCACCCTGCACCCCAGCCCCCCAGCTCTAAGCTGTGCCCCCATCTCGCAGGCGGTGCTGAAGTACACGCGCCTGGAGTGCAAGTGCCACGGGCTGTCGGGTTCGTGTGCCCTCCGCACCTGCTGGAAGAAAATGCCGCCCTTCCGGGAGGTGGGTGACCGCCTCCTCGAGCGCTTCAACGGCGCCGTGCGCGTGATGGGCGCCAATGACGGGCGCACACTGCTGCCCCTGGGCGCCAGCATCAAGCCGCCCGACGGGCAGGACCTGGTGTACTCGGCTGACTCGCCTGACTTCTGCCTGGCCAACCGCAAAACGGGCTCGCCAGGCACCCGTGGGCGCCTCTGCAACAGCACGGGGCTGGGCACGGGCGGCTGCGACCTGCTGTGCTGCGGCCGGGGGCACCGCGACGAGGCCGTGGTGCTGGAGGAGAACTGCCTGTGCCGCTTCCACTGGTGCTGTGTGGTGCAGTGCCGCAAGTGCGCCGTGCGCAAGGAGCTCAGCCTCTGCGCCTGACGCCCCAGGGACGCCACAACCCTCTGGGAATGCCGCAACCCACCGGGGATGCTGAGACCACCCAGGGACGCCAAGACCCACTGGGGATACCGAGACCACCCAGGGACGCCAAGACCCATTTGGGGATGCCCAAACCCACCGGGGATGCCGAGACGACCCAGGGATGCCAAGACCCATTTGGGGATGCCCAAACCCAACTGGGGATGCCTGCCCAAGGATGCCGCGACCCACTTGGGGATGCCCAAACCCACCTGGGGACACCCATCCAGGGATGCCGCAGCCCACCTGGGGATGTTGAGTCCCACCCGGGGATACGATGACCCACCCAGGGACGCCCAAGACTGGACGCTGGGAGCCAGGCTCTGCGCCCTGTGCCCAGGCTGGCACGGGGATGGGGGTGCACAGACTCAGAGGGGTGCCAGGTTCCCCCCTCCCCAAGGGCTCTGATGGCAAGGGGGGGACCTGCTCATTAGGCTAATAAAGCTATTTAAACACCAGCGGGGGATGGGCACTGCTGAGCCTTGGGGGTCGCTGGGGTCTGGCAGGAGATAGGCTGGGGTCTGCTCTGGGCTGGACCTCTCCCCCCCACCCCCCCATGTGCCAGGCAGCTCCCAGGCAGGGGGAGGGGTGGGTGTGGGGACAGGCGGGGGGGTGGGGGGGCGGCAGTGTGCAGGGGCAGGTATGCCCATGTTTGTGTGTTTGTGTGTACCCATGTGCAGACACGTGTGCATAGTTGTGTCTAAGGGTTGGGTTGCCACATACACCTGTGTTTGTGCACATGTACACAGTTGTATCTAAGGGTGCAGTTGCACATGTCCATGTGCTACTGTGTGTGTGTGTGTGTGCATACATGTGCACCCAAATGTGTGTGCAAATGTGTGTGGGAACCTTGCTGTCACCTTCCTGTGTGTGGGTTTGTGCACAGGCATGTGTGAGTGTGTTCACATGTGCGTGGGCCCTGGCCTCGCCCTCCCACATCTATGTTTGTGTACATAGATATGGGCTGGTGTGTTTGTGTGTGTGTGTGTGCACATATGCGGGGTCCTTCCCCTCACCTCCTCTGTGTGTTTGTGTGCATGTGTGTGTGTTCACATGTGTGTGTGATCCCTTGCCTTCTGTGTGTGTTTATGTGTGTGTCCACGTGTGTGGTCCCTGCCCTTGCCTTCCTGTGTGTGTGCATGTTCATGTGCATGTGTTTGTGTTCACATGGGTGTGATCCCTGTCCTCACCCTCCCATATGTGTGCATGTGTCCACGTGTCTATGTGTGTGGTCTTTGCCCTCACCCTTGACCTCCCATGTGCATGCTTGTGTGAAGATACGTGTGTGTGTGTGCGCGCCCACATGTGTGGTTGCCACCCTCACCCTAGTGTGGGTGTTGGTGTGCACATGTATGTGTGTGTGCACCCATGTGAGGTCCCTGCCACCCTCCTCCTCTGTGTGTGTGCTTATGTACTTGCATGTGCATATGTGTGCACATGCATGTAGTCCCTACCTTCAGCCTCCTGCCGCCCTGGCATGTGGCACATGGTCCCAACCTACCAAGCTCTACTTCATGCCAGCTGTGTAGCCCCCTGCCCGCCACCCGCCTGCTGGCTGGGCACATCTGGATCCAGTGCCAAGGCAACCGGAAGTGCACGCATGAGCGTGGCGAGGGGGGAGGGGGGATGTTTTCGTGTGAATGCACATGTGTGTGCACGGGCATGTCTGCACGTAGGTGAGAGAGTGACAGAGCACTCTGCTTCTCTTCTAGAAGACCGTACGCCTGCCTACTTTTTGTGTCATGTGCCCTGTACTGCACCAGTGAAAGGGGATTCTCCTCCCCACCCCTACCTGGCCCCATAGTGGAGCCCCAGGGGGTGTGGGGGGGGGGTGTGTGGGAGGGGGGGATTGAGGCACACGTACCCACCTGAAGTTTGAAGCCAGCGGGGAGAAGTCTGGTCTGGCCCTGCCACATACCTGCCTGCCTCCATGCCTCGGTTTCCCCTTGGCCTTGCTCTGACAGAGCCTGGCCATGGGGCCAGTGAGGGGCTGCAGCCCTTGCCCCCCACCCTGGGGCAGACCGAGGGGTGATGCCGTGCAACCAGCACCCTCCCCACACGCACACCCCTGCTCACATGCACGTGCACACACACAAGGGCATGGGCAGGGACCACACGTGTGTGCCCACACACAGGAGGGCAAGGACAGGGACTACCAGGTGCGCGCGCGCGCGCACACGCACACACACACACACACACTGGGCCCTTCTCCGTGCAGCCA